CACTACTGTAAGAAAATCAAAACAAAATCACAGTGAATAAAACAAGGGTATCACAAAACTTGGTAACATTAAATCAGTCTGTGAATAGTAAGTAGATACTTCTAAATTTACATCAGTCAGTAAAAAAGAAAGTAAATACTTGTGCAATTAAATCAGCCAGTGGAAAAAAAAAACTTATGCAACAAAATCAGTATGTAAAAAGAAAGTAAATACTTGTACAACTAAATAAGTCAGTAAAATTAAAGTAAATAGTACTACAATGATCACAGTGAAAGAACATAGGGAGAGGTATTGATTATCCTCGAACAGTAATTATTAGTTATGTTGATAACTAAACCTCCAAATTGAAATTATCTCTACAAAGATCAAGAAATTTGTCATTTCTAGAGACATAAGACATCATCTTTACTGGACCTAGAACACAAGCTGCCAGGAAAAGAACAGCAGATTTGTTGGCTGCGCCAAAGCTCAGGTGAAAAGTCCAATAGGTGGCAAGCAGCAGAAGCAGTGCCTCAATAGGATCATCCGTGCTGAAAATTGGCTCAGCGTCAGAAATGGCAAAGAAGTTGACAGTGCCCATAGCTTCTCCAATTCCAGTAAGGCGAAGGGGCTCCCTGGAATCTGGCCTTGCTTCGGCAAGAGGGGTATTTTCCTGTGAAAACATAATACTGTTAAAGCAATATACAATCATAAGATTAAAATTCAACATTGATTTCAAAAATCCAAAACAATAAAGGGAGTTTTAAAAATTGTATGACCTAAATAATTCAAATGTAGGAGATTACAAGGTGTCATATAAACCTACAGTTATATTGAAAATAAAATAACTGACAGGAAATATTTCAAGCACCCTGCATGCTCTGTTTTCTACACCATCAGCTTGGCCTCGTTTTGGCCTTGAATTTTTCAGCCATAGAGGCATTCTGTGCAAGCTCTCTAAGATCATAACTGTTTGTTGCTCTGGATAAAAAAAAAATAATCACTAAAAAACACATTAAAAAAATTGTGTGCTTTTGATCTTATAGTTATGGATAAGACTTACCAACAGAAAAGTTAGCATCAATTCGATAAATGTTATGGTCAGAGAAGTACTTTCTGAAATGCCCCAATCTCATCAGCCAACTCTCTTTCATGAGTGAAACAGGTACCTGGATCTCATCCATAGCACTAAATTCTTGAAGTAACTGGGAAAAATAACATAAATGTAAAATCCATGATTTGAAAAACACATCACATGTAGAATATATTTGTATATATTTACCAGTTGAGGAATAGTTAACGCTGGGTAATCTATGAGTAGATTCAGAGATTTCATCTTATTTGCTTCTTTGTTTCTGAGGGCTCGTGTTGCTTCAAGATATGGTCCCATGATTGTTACACTTCTCTTGCCAGCTGCCCAATCTTGCACCATGGCCTCTCGAGCCTCCTTAGCACACAGAGGTGCAGATGGTTGTGAGTTCTTACTCGATTTAGACCGAGGACCACTTTGTTGTCTCAACCTTGTTCGAACAAGTTTTTTGTACAAAGCTTTCTGAAATTAACAGTGTCTTGTTAGTTGACTAATAGAGACTAAAAAATTGTATGTTACAATAATATTTCACGCTTACTTACACCTTGAGGATCCGTTGCCCTCTTCATAGGAGAGTATCTCTTTCTAATTTTACTGGCGGCTTTCAGCAAATGTGCATTTGAAGCTTTGCCAGAATCTATCAATTTACGAACAACAGCTCTACAAATAAAACTGCGGTGTCTGGCTTCTAAGTGTCTGGTGGCCAATGCGTCATTGACTTCATCTGGTAATGCATTTGGCATTGGATCGTATGACCTGATCTATAGAAAGCAAAATAAAAACTGCAAAGAAATTAAGTCAATAATAAAATTAAGTCAAGGCATTCCAGAGAGAGATAATATTATATGAACTTACCTCTTCCTCAGCATTATTTAATATGTTTTCAATAGGATTTTCCTGGGGTTTTAGAACAAGGACTTGAGAGGATATTTGGCAAATCATTTTGTTGTGGATCAACAACAAGAGGAGGAAAAGTTGGAGTAACAATCTGCAATTTCAGACAAATGATTAGAGTTGGTAAAAAAATGATTTAATAACAACATCATATGTAAGACTTTCGGTATTAAAGACATTGTAACTTACCTGATTGACTTCTGCAGTCAACCTTCCAGTCCTGTTGTGCGTGAAGGTAAAAAGTAACTGAGGCGTTGCTTGTTGTTGACTGCTCAGACAATTTTCTGTTAACATATAAG